GTGTGTTCCCCTTTCATGATAACATTTTTGTTGACTGGATGTCAATATTTCATGTTAAATCTGGTGGGTCTCAACATTGTACAATGTACATGGGTGTTTCATCAATTCACCAATAATTACCATGAAATGAATGATGTTTCTATTTTCCTATGTGACTTTGAGAAGCTGCTATGTCTGAATGGCAGGTTGAAGATCCATATAAGAAATGAAAGTTACAGGAGTCCAGAACCTAGTTATGATTCTTCCCTCAGTTCGTACGAGGAGGCTGATGAGTATTGAGCAGTCTTTCTACCATTCTTATTTTAGATGGAACATATGGATGACTTTGCAAATGAGTCTGATTTTGCTAACTTTGAAAACTTTCAGCCTTTAAATTAATGCGTTTTTGGAATATTTTCTATTCATTGGTTATTGCTCTTTTAGTTTTAGCCCATGCATGATGCAGCTTGCAATATCAATTACTCCCGTGTCATTTGGAAATTGCAATTTATGAAGTGTATAGCAATATCAATTGATTTACGACCAAGCTTTCGATCATGAGGAGATTTTTTTTGGAAGAATAAAAAATGATTGACAAATTTTCAAAAACAACATTTTTTAGTACAAAAAGCAAAATTTTGAAACATGCTATTTAGCTTTTAGAGAGATGGACATATTTTTAATAACTGTTCATTAACAGTTAGCTATTTCGAAACATGCTATTTCTAATAACGGTTGATTAACGGTTTCATGCACATATTTTTTTATAAGAACTAGGAACCGAATAGTAAATAATGTCTAGGAACCGAACTGCTAACAACTAATATTTGTAGGAATCGAACCGAGCGGAGTTATAACGGTTCAGTTCCAATCGGTTCTACAGTTCCCGATTCCAAAATCACACCCCTAGCTGATGTTTGCTACCTGTTGCTACAGTACCTCCGGCCACCGGAGCTCCGGCTAGGTAAAAAAATCCAAATTTTTACCCATTCTTCAGCCACCGTCACAGTCGTCGGAGCTCTGCCGCTGATCGCCTCTGTCTTCCACCGCCACCACCGGACTGCCCCCGCTACCAACGCCCTGCCCCGCCACAGACGGATTGCCCTGGTTGCCCAAGGGAACTAGGGCGCAATAATTAATTAGAATGGGGGGTTTCCGTTGGTCGCCGGAGCTTCGGCCGCCGCCACCACCACCGGACTGTCCCCGCTACCAATGCCCTGCCTTGCCACCGACAGACTGCCTTGGTTGTCCAAGGGAACTAGGGGGATAATAAATTAGAATACGGGTATTAGGGGAAGATTAGTTAATGTTTACTCCTATTTGGGGAAGATTAGGAATTAATTCCTATTTAGGGAAATATATTATGGTATACTCCTATTGAGATTTGGGAGCAATTACTTAGATGAGTAGCATATTTTAGGGATTATCACATTTTGTGGCCATACTCCTTACAATTTTCTTAAAATAAACGGATTTTTACGTCTAGGGGCTACTAGTTTTATATACTACGGGTACGTAATATATATGGGCAATGAGGATGATATTTATAATTATACTAGTTATCAACGCGCGATGCACGTTTGTCTAAATGCCCAATGCTATTACAAGCAAATTAGTTACTTATTATGTATTAGTATTATTTTCCAAGTATTGTTGTGATTGCTTTTATTTTAAAAAATTGAACTTCAAGGTGATTTTGGAGAAAATGTTTAATAGTAAAACTGTAAAGTTGATAGTGTTTGAATAAAAATGATTTTGAAAAAGTAACAGTTGATAGTGTTTTGTAAAATAAGTGTTTTTTTGTATCATAAAACAAGTGAAAAGCAGGTTAAACCACGTCTCCATCTGTTTCCACCTTTTAGCTTATAGATGTGTAATTTAAACAGAAATTGTTATTTGAAAACACTAATTTCACCTTTTTTTAGTCAAAAGCTGAAAATCACTTTGTAAATATTATTTGCAAACACAACCATAATACCCCTAACATTATTCATGCTTATATAAGAAACAACTTACAATCGAAAACTTCTATTACAACTAAAACCTGATAAAATTAACAAGGTTATTCCCATTTTTCTAAACAAAGTGAAAACAAAAGCAGAGATAAAATTAGAGAAAATCCCTTAAATAAGAGTAAGACATTGCAAATAATTAGAAAAGCCCATTATACTTGCATACTTACATACCTAGAGTTTTTTCTTTTTGGAATTCAAAAACTGAAATATTGGTTATTATACAACCGAAGAGAACTGTTGCAATTCAACAGTTGAAACCACAGAACAAAACTTCTATTCTATTTGAAAGTTTTTATTCATATTATTAAATAAGTGGGTCGCCACCCATACTCTTCTCTGCCAACCATTGTGCATCAATTTAGTTTAGTGGGGCTCAACTGGTGTGCGGAAGCTGGCTCCGGCATAAACAACTGCTGAACCAAGCACCTCCTCAATTCTCAACAGCTGGTTCTACTTGGCCAGATGCTCTGACCGGCAGGGAGCTCCGGCCTAATTTGACAAGTTGACAAACCCACAACAAGATCAACAATAAACGTATCCTCTGTCTCTCCAATGCGGTGACTTGTCATGACACCCCAACCGCTTTCTTAGGCATTTTCACAGCTTCAATACTCTCGGTCACAGAACCAACTTGGTTAACTTTAAGAAGAAGAGCATTGCATGACTTACCCTCAATTGCCTTGGGAACCCTCTTAGGGTTGGTGATGAGGAGATCATCTCCTACAATCTGTACTTTCTCCCCTATCTCAGCAGTGATTTAAGCACAGTCTTCCCAGTCATCTTGGTGGAATGGATCTTGGATGGAAACAATAGGGTACTCAGCCACAAATGATTTGTAAAGATCCTTAAGCTGGTCACCTGAGATCTTCTTTGAGCCATCATTTTTCTCTTCTTTGAAGTTCAAATCATATGATTTGTCTTGCCCATAGAACTCTGAGGCAGCAACATTCATTCTAATAACAACTTTCCCATTATATCATGCCTTCTCTATAGCAGTCTTTAGCAATTCAAGGCCTTACTTGTTCCCCTGGATGTTGGGAGCAAAACCTCCCTCATCCCAACATCGGTGGCATCCTGTCCATATTTCTTATTGATTACGGACTTCAAGTGGTAGTATACTTCACAAGTTCACAACCCATCTTCATGGTCTTTTTGATCCTTGACTAAAAAAAGGCAACAAGCTGAGTAGTTGATAATAATAAAACTGTAAGAAGACTCATCCAGGAATTTGGATTTTCTACACCAGAATATAATACAAATAGAAGAAGGCACATGTTAAAGTGAAATTAACAAAACTGAAATTAGGGAATTACTAAAATATGCCTATGTAAGAACCCTGGTCAACAATAATTAAATATACCTTTGCATTTTCCAAATGAAATGAAAAAAGTCGAAAAAAATTCGAAGAGTGAATAAGTGTAAAAGGATAGCAGGAACTGCTCATCTCCAAAACAATGCAAATTTGAACATGGGGAAACTATCTATTTTTACCTGGACCGTAAAAACGTCACAAAACACATTTCGCTCATTAAACCCAAGATAAATTCACAACACAAATGATTTGGTATCCTTAACTAAAAAAAGCAACAAGCTCATTAGGTGATGATGAAATGACCACAAGAAGACATTCTTCCAAGGTTTTGGATTTTATACCCAAAAATATACTACCTCCGTCCCTAAATGTTTGTCCTACTTTGACTTTTGCGGTCTTCTAGGTAGACGTTTGACCGCAATTTATCTATTGATATATACCTATAAAGTCTATAATAAATTGACATTTGAATGATATGTATTACAAAGAATCACACTAAATAATTTTTTTGGAACAAATTTTGAGTAATTAGCGGTCAAAGTTTAACAAGTTTGACTCAAAATGTCAAAGTAGGACAAACATTTAGGGACAGAGGGAGTAATACAAATAGAAGAATGCACTTGTTAAAGTGAAATTTACAACACTGATTAGGGAATGAACAAAATACACATATGTAAAGTAGTTGTAAACACCTTGGTCAACAACAAGTCAACAACCTATGTCATGTCTAATCTGGCTAGTACTATTTACTAAACACAAGTGAAGGTTAGATACTACACACTTTCTATAACCCTATAGGAATGGTATAGTAAATAAAAACCCAAAAACATCAGAGTGCAACATCTAAGTTCCACGATTTAGATATAACAATATAGGAATGCCGAACGTCTTAAATAAATCCCAAACCATCGCAACAAATCTATAATAGTAACACTTGGGACACACTCATACAGTTCCGCTACGGAGAGCTTCGTCGGCCGTAATCAATTGAATAGTAATCAATTGAATAGGAATCACTTCAATAGTAAATTCGTGAAGGAAAAAAGGGAGAGGTGATTACTACTTACCTTGGATGCAAGTATGCAATTTTCGAATTAGAAAAGAGGGAGAGACGATTACTACCTTGAATGTAACTGCCGTGCCAGAGCCAGAGAGATTCCAAACCGATGTCTGCTCGCCATGACCGTAGAGTGTCAAAAATTAATATTGACGTGCTTGAACGAAGGGGAAGAGATGAAAGGATATAGCTGAATGAAGGAAATAAGCCAAGCGAAGAGTACTTGACGGAACGGGGAACATATACAGGAAAGACGCTTCCCGTTAAACACAAGTTATAATAATAAGTTTAAAAGTACAAAAAATTATACATGATGTACAATGACTTTATGCATCAAGAGACACCAACACATTTTCTATGACAATTATATCCTTAACAATATTCGCTCTTATAAGATTGTAGAGATATATACTAGTATATGGTAGAAATGTAGAATTGAGTGATGGTTGATTTGTTGGCAACAATGGGTGGGAATGAACGTCTTCCACGAGAACCAGACACATTCGTGGATATCGGTTTTGATGGTAACTAATGAACGGTCCTTCTCAGTTCCCATTCCCAGAAACATCGCAGCAATTAAACCAATACATACATACATATTGCAAGGATTGAACATCAACCAACATTTCGATACCACTTTATAAAAGCACCTCTTTTTCATATCATCCAAAAGAGAAAGCTTGGAAACCATTCACCAAATTCAAAACTATATAGCTCGCTAGCTTCCATGATGAATTCTTTCACCAACAAGGTATATGGGTTAATTTACATTACTTGTTATATTCCAAATGTGGTTGATATCTTGGTTGACGTAAATAGGTAATGAGGTGCAATCCGAATGCATGGACAAAGTTGTTCGTTTGTTTGTTGACTTTATTTATTGATGCATGTGTTGTGTGTCATGTGAGACTAAACCTTTGTGATCGATGTGAAATAACACTTTCTTTGATGAAAGTAATTATTTTACGATAATTAAACAATAATTTTCAACTTTCAAAAAATTACACGCGACCATATATTGATCCTTATGACACGGATTTTATTCTTATGAATCTGTAAACTTGATGGTCAGGATATGAATTCACAAGGTCAACTCGAAAGGAAGGTGGAAACTGTAGATTACCAATCATCTGCAGGGCAAGGGCAAGAAAAGAGACCGGTGGAGATCATCCATCACCACCCGCTGCCGACTACTCATAGCAACCAGAAAACCAGCGGCGCAGTCTTGACCAACGCCGCGGCTTCAGTCGTATCCACCCTTGACTCCGCCAAAGAGGCCATTTCTAATTCCAAAGCATAGCATACCAGTCCTCTGTAGTGGGAGAAAAAGCTCTTTTGATACATGTTTTAAATTAAGTGTACATTTCTGGTTCCTTTTATGATCTATGAAAAAAAAAAGATCCTTTTATGATCTTTAGTAGAAACAAAAAGAGTACTCAAAGTTGAATTATTTATAATATCCTTATAGCTTGATTCCATATATTTTCTAAAAAGTATAAGATTTGATGGGACATGATGTGAAAGGTTACAATCGTAAAGTAAAATGTCGCATTCTACATTCGAATTGGATAATAAAAGTGACTATACAACAATTGATAATTAATTTGATGAGACCCGTATGTCTTGTCAAGTGAAAGTGCCATACCAGATGCCCTTAATTTGATGAGACACTTCTTTTGATTTTTTAAGCACTCTTTCATATTTGCACATTTTTTGGGAGTATAACCCAATAGATGTCTAGTGACCCACAAATAAACTTGATCTTGTGATCTACAACAAATTTCTGATGTGCCTAAGTCCCAGTCATTTCTATCTTATTTATAGGGTAGAATTTCTGTTTATTCCATTTAAACTATCCAATATTAATATAAGTTTAATTCAATCAATAGTCAACCCACTTGAAACCGTACTAATATTCCCATATAATAACCAGTTTCAAACCACCCAAGAAGATCAATTACAATGTCATCCCTGGAGCAGTTGGGCATTCCTGAAATTCTCACCAACAAAAAAGTGAATCCTTTTAAGATCTTCAATAGAAATAAACAAGAGTACTCATAATTGAATTATGTATAATATCATCATAGCTCGATTCCATATATTTCCTAAAGAGTATAAAATTTGATGAACCCTTCTATAAAAGGTTACATTTGTAGAGTAAAAGGTCGCGTCCTGCATTTGAATTGGATGATAAAGGGGCTGTACAACAAGTGATAATTCAATTTGATGAAACCCCTATGCCTTGTAAAGCGAAATCATAGGAGATGCTCCATAATTTGATGAGACACTTCTTTTGGCTCATTAAGCACTTTTCACACTCACTACTATGAAAAAAAACCTATAGTGACCTAAAATTAGTGTCAACAGAAGTTTTAGTGACACATGATAAGGTGTCATAGCAGGTCGAAAATTGTGACATCAAATTTAGTGTCACAAATAAAGTGTCATAGAATAATGACACCCTAGTATTACAAAATACTACCATATACTAACATTGTTAAACTTAATGACACTTTGGTGTCATAAAAGCATTAATACATTAGTGTAAAAGATTGTTTAATTAAGACGAAAAGGTCAAATAAGGCTTTCTACTATTATAAAATCATCACATAAGGTCATGTACTCAATAAAGTGTCATATAAATACATCTACTTATAAGAAACAATCAAATGAGTCCTAACGACCTTTTGACAACCTCAAAATCCCAATTTTTGCGTACATCCGATTATCTTTTTAAAAGAGATTATAAGGCTAATGTGGAATATTTATCCAGGATTAACTTAAATACAAAGCAAAACTAGGCATGGACTGAGCCCGGTCGAACCAGCCCGATACCCAACCCGGACCGCCACTATGCGGTCACAGCCCGAACCGGTAGGCTGGGACAGGGCCTTAGCCCTTAGGGCCCGAACCGAGGGGTTTTGGGGAGGGCTACGGGTATCAGGGTATGGTATTTGGTGGACTGGCCCGAGCCCAAAATGTTTTTTTTCGAAAGGGTTGGGTGCTAGGCGGGTGGGGCCGGGTGGTTTGGGGGGGTTTGGGGATGGGGGTAGGAATAAATAAGAAAAACCATTTTTTTTAAAACCTAGACGGCTAGACCCGACCCGACCCGGGTCCGGTCCACCCCTAGGCAAAACTAACGACACGTAAGATATAACTGAGATTAGAAGGTTGTCAACGGGTCGTTGTGACTCATCCGATTGTTTTTTATAAGTAGACATATTTATTTGACACTTTATTGAATACGTGACCTCATGTGACTATTCTGTTATAGTAGAAGGCCTTATTTGACTTTTTGTCTTTAATTAATACAATTATACACACACATATTACTTTTAATAATATGAATTTTTTTCACTCATTTCATTAAACGTAAACAGTAAACTACATGCAATTGAAAAATATGCTGATAAATCAAAGAGCATTATTTTCATTAACAAATCAAATTGTTACAAGAGTAGTATTAATACAAACAAAATACACAAGGGAATTGTACAATCTATTTTTAATACCAACAAAATACACAAGGTAATCGTACAATCTATTTTTTAATACCAACAAAATATACAAGGATCTATCCAGTCTAATTTTTCTACAACTATAATTCAACATGATACCATCATGCTTTCATCTTACTAACGTGAATGATATCAAACTAGTAACAGGGCACCAAGATCTCGAATCTTTAGGTCTCTAGCTTTGGGTGCATCTAGATTCACCAACATTATATTCTTGGGTAGTTTTTACTTAACTGTTTTCAGTTCAACATCAGACTAGACTTGATCACTTGAACAGTTTACGAAGTACTAGTATAATATACATCTAGTAGGAGAAGAGTGCGAGAGAAGAGGATCCGCAATGATGTAAACTTATGGATCAATATCAATTAATTAATAGTAATTGCCTAATTATACCAGAAAACTATAAGTCAAGCAACAAATACATCATAAGTTATGGACTTCCTCATAAGTTCTCCACGGTCATTAGAAGTGTATGCATGTCTCTGCGATTTTAACAAATACTGTAATTCCAGAAAGATAATTTCTTTAAAGAAACAAGAAGCATCCTAGCCTTTGTTGATTCAACAAAAACACTTGCTCACTTTTTTTATTGAAGAATTTTCACAAACAGTTAAGAGGATATAAGAAATGCAAATTTTAGGATTGAAAATTAAAAGTATAATAATAAGTAGTTCGGTTGAATGCCATTGTTATTACAGACGATTGCCTAAATTTATATCAAACAATGAGAAAATAACATTAAATCAATGACATATACTGACAAATTTAAGTTTTATGAATAACTTTAAACTACACATATAGTGATACATAACCATAGAGATAAAACTAGAAAGAAGATATATGAGTTGCTAACTTTAAAGCAGGCATATAACATGAAGAGAAACAGTTTACAAAAAAAAAAATCAAAAGCATCTGGTACTCTGGTAATAGCAGCGTTATAAACATGAAAAGAGTTAGATCAACTAAATGACAAGGATAAAAAGACATGGCAAAATCTGACCACACACATTCCAAGTATTGTTTGGAAATCTCGAGAGCTAGATCAACTAGAAATGGTCAAATGACTGATAGTTTTTTTTGTATGAAATTGAATAAACTTGGTCCATGCTTCTCAAGCACCTATTAAGACCATTTAAATTCATTAACAAGCCTTAAGTCCCCATAAAATTTCAAAATCTGGGGCAGTGAGGATATTATGAATTAACAATATACTTAGTAAACATATTACGACGGTAGTAATCAAACCAGTTCCACAATTGGACAGTGGACACAACTGAAAAGAATAAACTTTTTGAGCAAAACTTCAAATTAAAAGCCAATCGGCTATATGAAATTAATACAACTCTTACAGACTGCCACTCCTATCATGCCTTTGAAGCCGCTGAAAGTCTGAAACATATCAAATCTACCATTGCTGCCTCACGATAACAGCAGGCTTTGTTGTTGATTTTGGATTTCCTGCTCCCAGCTCATTGCTCACCCGCACACTTGCTGCTGCATTGAATCCAACTGATATCATAAATACCCATCCAGAAATAGTCAAACAAATAGAGAGAGCATCCAAAGCCAACTCTGGGTTTTTAAGCAAACAAAACAAGAACCTGAAAGTACCAACTTTCCAAAACAGAGCATAACAAAACCTGGAAAAGGTGTGGATTGAGAACCCGGCCCAAGTCTTCCTGCATTTCTCAATCTTCACTATATACACAAACTGTGCTATCACAACTTCCCACCAAGAAAGTCTCAACACCAGCAACACACCCACTATGCTAAACTGGTATTATAACCTTGTGCTGAATAGCCTAGTCATTATCATTTTATCACCAGAAAACTAGAAACCTTGTCAAAGGTTCGTTTAGTCCAAATTTTCACAATCCAATTCAAAACTAGTCACAGAGATGTGCTTCTTAAATGTGTTTCCAACATGGAAACTTAATTGCATATTCAATATCGAAGCGATTGAAATGATGAAGTAATGAACCAATCTAACAGAACTGCACAATACGGTTATCACCAAAAAATAATACCGGGTAATAAACACAATTGTTAAAAGGAAGAGAAATAGACTACAAAATTAAGATATTATAATCGACGGGTTAAATAAAGAAACAGCAGATAAGGAGAATCTAAACTTCTGAATTTGTATACTTTGTACCTCTTTAATTTTTCAAAAGCCACAACGAACCTAGAAAGGAGAAAACAAAACAAGGAAAACAATCAAAGACAGTATCTCATTCAATCCAATTTATAGTCTCTAATGTTATCTCATAAAAAAAAATACAAAACAAGGAAAGAATTAGTCATAGTAATCCACTTCGATAATCTAAACACAATGGCTAGAAATTTCAACCCACTATTGTGCCAATAAGAAGCTGCTTGGATGTTATGCCTTTGGTTGTCAAAGTAACTGCTATTGTTTTCACAGAATGCGTAAAAAAAGTAAGACTGTCTAAGTGGAGACTTCAGAAATTTTGACAGTAATACCATTGAGAGTTTGCTACCTCTCGTGTACTTCCAGGAAGAATTCTAGGCTATTTCCAATTCTTATAAAGTTCATCTGGAAATGAAACGGACACCACATTTACACTACCGCCTTAAGAACGTTCGGATAAAACTGAACATGGCCAGAAAAATCATTTCAAATTCTCATCTCAACGCAAGACAAGCAGTTGGAATTGGGGAAAGAGACTGAATTTCAGAGTAGGTTTAGAAAATTAGGTTGCAAATTTGTAATTTATGGAGGAGGCTAACCAGGAGTGGAGCTCTGGCTGCATTGGAGGCGGAGGGCTGGGGGCTATTGCCGACTGCGGTCTGCTGGATGAAGGCCTCGAAGACGACTCCATTGGCGGAATCTCGCCAGACTTGGTGCTGTAGCTGTTCCTCCCGGTTTCTAGATCAACCCCACACCGTAAAACACAAAGCTATTTAGGTTTTTTTATAAAAGGGCTCTTAGGATA